AAAGGTGAAAAAAAAATTTAAAAACATTTAGGTTTGTGATTTTTTTTTTTTTTTTTTAATTTTTTTTTTTTTTAAGGAAAAACCCATTAAACAGTATGCATTGCTTGTTTTGAGACTCGCTCCATTATAAAGCAGCTATGTTTTATATTCTGTTTTTATTTTATCATGGATTGTGATTATGTCCAAACATGACATACACTATATTGCCAAAGGTATTGGGACACCCCTCCAAATCATTGGATTCAGGTGTTCCAATCACCTCCATGGCCACAGGTGTATAAAATGAAGCACCCAGGCATGCAGACTGCTTCTACAAACATTTGTGAAAGAATAAGTCGCTCTGAGGAGCTCAGTGAACTCAAGCGTGGTACCGTGATACCGGTGTAATAAGTCCATCCATGAAATTTCTTGCTACCAAATATTCCACGGTCAACTGTTAGTGGTATTATAACAAAGTTGAAGCAACTGGGAACAACAGCAACTCGGCCACAAAGTGGTGGGCCACGTAAACTGACAGAGCGGGTCAGCGCATGCTGAAGCGTACAGTGCGCAGAAGTCGCCAACTGTCTGCAGAGTCAATAGCTACAGACCTCCAAACTTCGTGTGGCCTTCAGATTGGCACAACAACAGTGCGTAGAGACCTTCATGGAATGGGTTCCCATGGCCCAGCAGCTGCATCCAAGGCTTAAATCACCAAGTGCAATGCAAAGCGTCGGATGCCGTGGTGTAAAGCACGCCGCCGCTGAACTCTAGAGAAGTGGAGACGTCTTCTCTGGAGTGACGAATCGCACTTCTCTGTCTGGCAATCCGATGGACGCGTCTGGGTTTGGCGGTTGCCAGGAGAACGGTACTTGACTGGACTGCATTGTGCCAAGTGTAAAGTTCAGGTTTTGGGCTTGGCCGCTTAGTTCCAGTGAAGGGAACTCTTAAGGCATCAGCATACCAAGACATTTTGGACAATTTAATGCTCCCAACTTTGTGGGAACAGGTTGGGGATGGCCCCTTCCTGTTTCAACATGACTGCGCACCAGTGCACAAAGTAAGGCCCATAAAGACATGGATGAGTGAGTTTGGGGGGGAGGAACTTGACTGGCCTGGACAGAGTCCTGACCTCAACCCGATAGAACACCTTTGGGATGAATTAGAACAGAGACTGCGAGCCAGGCCTTCTCGCCCAACATCAGTACCTGACCTCACAAATGTGCTTCTGGAAGAATGGTCAAACATTCCCGTAGACGCACTCCTTAACCTTGTGGACGCCTTCCCAGAAGAGTTGAAGCTGTTATAGCTGGAAAGGGTGGGCCAACTCAATATTGAACCATACGGACTATGACTGGGATGCCATTAAAGTTCATGTGCGTGTAAAGGTGTCCCAATACTTTTGCCAATATAGTGTATGTCATTTTCTTTGCCCATATATACACATTAACATATGTATCTTTGTCTTAATTTACCAAGTCCATAATTTATAATAATGTAAGAGTAGGCATGAACGTTCATTTGTTTATTTAGTAGCCCAGGTGCTGCAGGTAGGCATCTAGATGTACATATTGTAAAAAGGGGTTTATCGTCCAGCAGAAAAAGTTTTTAATGTGTGTAGCAGTAACACATTTAGATTTCCTAGCTAAGGTGTTAACTGCATTGAATGCGTCAACGCAACACTTCTTAAAACTGATCCACCTTTCTTTCAGGTAATGCCTATGGTAAAACACTGAGACAATATCACGGCTGGGTGGTACGAGGTGTATTTGCGGTAAGATTGGATCTTCAACATAAGTTTAGGTTGCTTCTGGTGTATTTCATCGTAATAAAGTGGAACTCCAGAACAATAGCTAAATATACAGTATAGTTGAATTATACATGTATTCTATTTTACAAGGATTTGCAATTTTGGCCAGCCATTCTCTGTGATGCACACCTTTTGCCAGATGTGATGATGCTGATCCATTTTCCAATGAGGAGGCTGACATAAGAAGCACAGTATCTAGATAATCAATTCTTGTGAATTGGTTAACTAGGTACTGTGTCACCTGTCCGTGGAGAATGTGTGTAAATCACAAGATTGCCCCTGTACAGAATGACAAATCATTTGGTTGTTAAGACAGATCATAATTTAGGTAAAACAATTAAACAAAAAAATAATAATATATATATATTCCCTGGAGAATCATCATGTCAGCCTACCACAGGGCCTGGCCTCGCAAGCTGCAGGTCTCTTTGCTTTGCCGCAGTTTGTACATAAAACAGACTGACATCTTTAAATGAAGAATGACAATCTATAAATTAAAGGTGTCTTTACCATACTATTAGGATGGGGATCACTTGTCTTACCTATTTTTAGTTTAGCCAGCTGTAGTCCTTCTGATCACTATTTCATAATAATAGATTGTTTACTTTTCCTTTTAACCCCTTCGTGACTGATGACGTACAGTGTACGTCGCCAGCATCGGGCTGTTTAAACAGACTCCCGGTGACTTTTGCCGCCGGGACTCTGTTTAAACTTGTAGAGCCGACTGTCGGCTTTACAACAGAAGCGATCCTGGCGACTTACCTGTCGCCAGATCGCTTCTGGCGACAGGCTTGTAAGTCCCCCCATGTGATAGCAGTCAAAGTAAAGTAAAAAACACGAAAACGCGCGTCGGGTGCGCCTACGTATGAAAACGACGAACGCGCTACACATGTTGGGTATCGCCGTGCACGCCGGAGTGAGAACAATAATTCTAGAGCCAGTATTTTGGGGTATCTCTAAATTGATGACCTGTGGGGGCTTTTAAAGCGTCTTCTATGGACTTTTTGGGGTACTGGGGTTTTCAGAAGCTGTAGCTCGCGGTATACTGAGCTTAGGGTGACGGGAGGACGCTAGTTTGTGTCCTCCCGTTACCCTAAGGAGAAATATGGGGAAAAGCCCTTAATCACCTTTTTAAGGGTGCAAGTTTGCAGTTACTATACTGAAACCAAGGGTACTTATCTCTTTTATTTTACCTTTTGAACAGCTGGCTTTAAGGGCGGCTCCATCGTATGAAGGGTTTATGACTGCTCTCAGCGTAAATGAAGGAGATGAAAAAGACAAGTTTTTCTTTGCTGCAATGTTGAGAGACCTTACCATATACCTGCCAGCTATGGAAAAGCAGCTAACCATTTTGGACACTTTATATGAAGAACATGGCTTGGATTCTGATGAAGTAGTATGACCGAGGCACAAGCTCTTACAATGCAGGGATTTGGCATCTTAATTTATTACAGAGAACGTTATTACAAAAGATGCATAGACCACATATATGACGTGCAAATCATAGAGAACTAAGGGCTTTCTATGGGAGCCCCTAGCATTTTATGCACAATCAGATTTTCTATTGACAGTCTTCTAAAGTACTTATTCTCCTTCTAGAGGTATCTGACAAGCAGCCATTATGGACATCCAGTCTGCAGGATTCCTCGGATGGTTATTTATATACTGAATACCGTTTTTTGCTCTATGTACAAATGATTTTTTTTTAATAATGAGGCGGCTTTGAAGTCTTGACCAGTGTATGTGGGAAGGAGAATACTTTAAAGCCAATTTGGGAAAAGTGGTGCAATTTCAGATGAAACCGATTGTGACCGGTGGCTTTGAGCAGTAGCTCCATTTTTCTCCAGGCTTCTTTTACAAGTTTTTCGTGGCTTGCTGGATCTCCGAACACAGAATGCAGCTTGTTTTCTTCCATCTTACAAAAAGGCAAATTCTTTGATCTTCTGCAACTTCTAGGTCAGCCAGACAGTCACAGCTTACCTACCTCTGGCAAAATCCATTACTTATCAGGGATCATGCAACGGAACAGCAGTTAACGGATCCTTTTTTTGTTGGGTCGTGATGTTCAGGACATTGTGTCTACAGCTTTGTTGTCTATAGCATGTGCTATAGCAGCTACAGTATATTTGCTTCTGTCTTTAATAAATGGAACGTAGCTAACTATTTTTAGCTATGGCTAATTTATTTTACTAAAATGACTCTCCAATGCCTCTGTTTAAACATTTGCTAAGTCATTGTTGTATCAAGAATTGCAACGTTCCGTCTGTCTACAGATTATGCCACTTAAAAGTGTATGTATAGACCAGCTTTTTATTTTAGTTTTGTATACAGTAAGGAAGGGTTAAAACCTTTGCTGTCTGTGTCCTGTTGGGTAGCTTTTCATTCACTTCCTGTCCCAGGGATGCAACAGGAAGTGGGAGAATATCTGTAGAATTTATTGGGAATTGCCATCTTTGACATTTATCTATGGAGCAGGTGTCCCCATGTAAACTTTTCCCCCAACTCTTGTTTGGGTGACAATTATAACATTTTGGATTTCCTTTCTCAGCGACAATAGTCTCCAGGACCTATGGAGGGGACAAAGCTCCCCAGCAGGGGCACAGACAACACATATGTACACATATGTGGATCTTTACCCCCTTTCACTAAAAAATCACAGCTCTGCGTGCTGATTTCAAATCATCTTGCATTCATTAGTTAAGTAAACTTGTTTTTCATTTACTTACAAATAGAGTTCATCTACTTCCTGGTCCACTTCTGGCACAAATTATGTAATGTGCCAAAGCATTGCATCCCTGCTCCGCCCCCAATCCAGTCACCAAGCTATGTGTGGAAGAGGGAGGGAGGAGCCTCCTTGTCCCTCACTTGCTCGTCACTGGTGAGGCATTGAGATCGATGTCCACAGTTTTTTTTTGTTTTTGTTTTGTTAGCTTTTACCAATGATGCTTTGCACAAAGCTCAAGCCTCTAACATAGAGTAGAGGCCGTTGCAGCTCTGGCCTCACTATGTTAGGTTACACAAGCAGTGGGGAAGCCCGCTGCTGTGTAACCTAACTAGCTGTCAAAACCCGGATGCAGCTCCCCCTGTAATTAACAGGCAGCGCTCCGTCCATGACAGGTTACACAGCGGGGAGGCTTTCCCTGTTGTGTAACCTGTTACAAGCCGATCTGAATGGAGAAAAAGATGTCGGCTTCAGACATAATACTAGATGAGGCTCTACCTCAGCTGCCTCCCCTGATCGCACGTTCCTGATCAGTAGAGCATTACTGGGAAATCACATCTGTAGTCTCAAAGAAAAACATTTTAATCCCCTGAGAAGATGACATGGCCTAGTCACATGTGCCAGATTTCTAGGCTGTAAGGGCAGAGCTAGTAACCTGCCCTTAGTTAACATGTCCACTGTCAGATTGACTGGGAAAGAAATAAGGAATGCAAAGAATACAAAGCCGGCAGTTATCTAGAAGTATGTGTTTGTAGATTGTCATTACTAAACATTTCTAAAGGTGTGTTTGTTGTTATGTTAAAGATATGGGTAAAGGTCCACTATAATGTAAATTTACTGACTGAATGAAATGAGGAGACAAGTCGCAAGCACTAATTATTGTAAACACTAGGTGGCAGCATAGCTACACTCAGAAACTGTTCGCCCAGCCGTATTGGTTACTATTGATGTTAATTCCAGGCACAGGAAATAAAGATACAAAATATTGTTTCATTTGTTTGAAATATACTGAATGATGTGTGTGTGTATTGTGTTTAAAAAATGTTTTATTTACATTGCAAAGAGCCAGGACCTGATTGTAACTACAAAGGGTGGGACTGTGCTCAGTCTAGTGGCCTTGTTCCTCCGCTGTGTTTACCAGTTTCTCTTCTGTATTCACCACATTACACTCTATATAGTTATCAGTGATTGTAAGAGGTACTCAGAACTGCGCTCGGGGATTTAAACTCACTCTGAAGCAGCTGTGCTTATTAGGTGAAATGTATTCCTATACCTATTTATTTCTTGCAATTGTAGCGCAGTTCTACTTTTCACTTTATTAGTTATCAGTTGTTCCCTTTATACATGTGCACACAGAGTTGTTTCTTTTAAAACATAAAAACCTTCTCGTATGTTTTCGGTTGTAGGAGAAAACTTAAACCCATGCATACAAAGGAAGAACATATAAACTCCATGAAAACCATCTCCCTGGTGGGAATTTAAAAATCCAACACCCCAGTGCTGCAAGAATCTGGATATTAAATGGGTCCAAGGGATTTTGTTGGTGTAATAGGAAGATTAAATAGTGAGTACACAATAGAAAACAAATCATATTTACTGGGAAACCTTTGCAGCAACATTTATAAATATGCCAGGTGGATGCTGTTCACATAGTGCTAGTGCCATCTAGATGGTGCTAACTAGTGTAGGAATTTCTTTTACACATCAGCACCATCTATGGGCGATGGTGCCACGGGAATGGGAACTTTTATAAAAGAACCCCTTAAACGCCCCTCGTCGTAAGCACCAGCTATTGTAAATTCGTGCCAGTAAAAGAAGGAAGAGGGCTTGGCTGAACTCCCCTCCTCTCACATTACTGGCCAGTCTCTACACATTTGGCTTGCCTGCATTAGAGTCTATACTGTCTCAATGAGGTATTGGCAGGGGAGCACTGCACAAACGCTCACTTCACACTAGCCAGAAATGCTGTTCTGCTTAACCTACATTAGTAATCTGCTGTCTTCCCTCTGTTTATCATGTTTATCAGTCCAATTTTAAGTAGAGCTGAAGACAAACTTTTTTTGTAGTTAGGGGTTATAGCCCCTGTCAGATTTTCTGTGTCCCATTGGGGAGATTTTCCATTACTTCCTGTCTGATATCCCTATCCGGAAGTGAGAGGAAATCCCTGCTGGTCAGAACTTGTATCACCAATAGAAGATTTCCCACCTAATCCTGTTCTGGTGACGACTCAAAATGTAGAATTTTCTTCCACTTTCTGTGATAACAGTCACCAGGGCGGATACAGAGGGTGAGGCTCCTTAAAGTGACATTAAACCCTCAGATTTTTTTAACATAAACCAATACTCTAATGTGTGCCTTACTGTAATCCACGGTTGTTTCCCTTCTCTTTGCTGCTCTTTCTTTTAAATCCTCATGTCTTCTCATGCTTGGGGAGAACTTCCCTTTGCAGCTCAGGGCCTCTTCCTGTAGTGCTGGCTCAGGTTACAAGCCTATAGAAACGTATACACAGACTCCGTGTATCCATTCCTGAGACAAGGCAGTGTGCTGCACAACAGAAGTTCTGCAGAGCATGAGAACAGATACAGATTTAAAAGGAAGAGCAGCAAAGAGAAGGGAAACTACCATGGATTACAGTAAGGCACACATTACACTATTGTTTTATGTTAAAAAATCTGAGGGTTTAATGTCACTTTAATGGGGACACAGACAAGTATAAAAACCTAACAGGTCTTCTAATCCCTATCCACTCTATCCAAAACTAAGAAGTTTGGGCTTAAGTTGCACTTTAATATGAACTGATTGAACATTATTAAGAGTAATATAAATCTTAACCTAATGTCCCCAACCAGGGTTATTGCACTTCATAAATCCATCTTCTGTTCTGTACTGGAGTTCAGATGCAGCTATGAGCTCCCTAGCACATGACAGGAGCATTGACAGTCGCACTGTGGACCAGAAGTTGGCAACCTCGGCACTCCAGATGTTGTGCATTGAAAGACCGACAGTCAAAGACCTGACTCCCAAAAGAAGAGGCATGATGGGATTTGTCATTTCAGCACAGCTGGACTGCCAAGGTTGCCCACCACTGCTGTATACCATACTGTGCTCATTGGTAAAATGAAGGATTACCATTTGTAAGGTATTAGGGCTGCAACAACTAATCGACATAATCGATTATAATCGATTATTGAAAAAGTTGTCAACTTTTTCAATAATCGATTAATCGGCTTCCGATCAGTTGGCCCTGTTCACAGCTCCACACGCTGTGCGCCGCACATCCTCCCGACCCCACGCTCGCCGCTGCCAGACCCGCTCGCATCCACGCTCCACACGCCGCACCTCCTCCCCACCTCACATTTCCTGCCCATCCACGATCGGCAAGGCACGCGCGGAGATGTAGTAAGGAGGAGCAGGGGTGGGGGGATGACAGCCGCTGATAGACAGGTCCAATCTCAGAAGCAAGTTGCTGGAAGACTGGTCAGGTAAGCCTGCACTTTTCCACACATGGTGCTCTATAATGTATTGCTGGGATTTGTATTCCTCTATAGCTGATGGTACATTATACTGTACATTATACATAGGAATACAAATAACAGCAATGCATTATACACTGTATGTATAATGTATTGCTGGGATTTGTTGTACTCCTCTATAGCTGGTGATATTCTGCATTGCGCTGTATAGGGGACTACAATTCCCAGCAATAATACATTATACAGCGCAATACCACCAGCTATAGAGGAGCACAACAAATCCCAGCAATAATACATTATACAGTGGTGCAATGCCGAACACCACTAGCTATAGAGGACTACAAAACCCAGCAATAGTACATTATACAGCTCAATGCAGAATACCACCAGCTATAGAGGACTACAACAAATCCCAGCAATAGTACATTATAAAGTGGTACAATGCTAAATACCACCAGCTATAGAGGACTACAAAACCCAGCAATAGTACATTATACAGCGCAATGCAGAATGCCGCCAGCTATAATGTGCTTTTGCTGGGTTTTGTAGTCCTCTATAGCCGGTGCCATTCTGCATTCATTGCTGTATAATTTTACACTTTCCATTTCACTATATTGCACACCACACTATCTTTTTTTTCTTTTTTACTTCCACCGCTCCAAGCTTGCTAGTAGTCCTATCACTGGAGCCATTTTTTAAACTTTATTTTATTGTTTATCCGATTAACCGATTAATCGAACTTAATAATCGGCTAACTAATCGATTTTGAAAATAATCGTTAGCTGCAGCTCTATAAGGTATCGCAGTAAAATAATCAATGTTATTAAAAAAAAGGCATTTCTTACACACTCATGCCTCGTACAAGCAGGAGGAACCAATAGCACCAATGAATAGTATTCAAAATGAGAAGTTTTAAAACCTGGTTACTTTTGGTAACTAAAGACCAAGCCTCATGTATCAG